CAACTCAAGTTTGGGGAGGGGGTACATAATTTTTTCTTTTAACATTTTATAGGCTTTGAGTGACTTTTTAACATTTCTTACTGTGTCTGGGTTAACTGAAGCCTCTATTTTATTGAGAGCTATGACAATCACAATGGATTGTTTTTTAGGTCACTTTATCAAAGCATGCATTGGGGCACATTGTCTCATGACAGTTGAGGAAAGGAAGGCCCTCATCACACAACACAGTATGAGAACAATGGGTTAAAATATAAATAGGTCACATTGAATACTTGTCAGCTACATTGAGGATTATACAGTATAAATAATTTTGGTCCATTTGATGCTATTCTCTTCATCCTGGATGAAGTTTCTTCTTGTCCCCTGTTCTTATAATGTTTACTGAATCACTGTATTTGACATAGAGAGGAGATTTCAAGAGGGCCAATGACTTTACTTCCAGCCTTTTATCTCTAAGTGGCCTCAAAATTATAAGTTCTTGGTTTTGAGGGGATACTGTAATAAAAACAGAGGCAGAAAAGACAAAACAAACAATCGTAGAAACAGCAGTTGTTGGTTTTATGATTTAAAGCCACAATTATTAGAAAAGGGTCTAACAAGTTTGGTGCATGAAATTTAGCCACAGAAAGGACAAGAACCAGTCTCTGCTAGCTAAAACAAAGGCTAACATTGTGAGATTTCAGTGGCATAATATATGGGCTTCAAATAAGAGTTCTGGTCAGTGCGATATAAAGGAAGTACTTCATTAGCTATCATAGTGCATACCTCTGAGCCTTGTACCACATGGCAGCATGTAGCAAGGGCATGGGCGCAAAGAATGAGCTATTCACTCAGGTTTCATAATCTTGCTCTGTTTCAGCCTCCCGGGTTGACAGCTTTCAAGTTAAGCATGGAAGGCTCTAAAGAAAAGTCTTACATTCTTTAGTGATATAGTTTGTTTTTGGAAAATGCCTATCTAAAATAAGGAGATAAAGTAAGTTTAGCCTGTGGGCTCAATTTATTACATTAGCTGTCTTTCCAGAGCATAGTGATATTTTTATGATTACTTTGAACACTTTAGTAAAATAGTTTTACAGAAAGATTTATCTCAAATTAAGTTATTGCAATTTCTATGTCATTCCGCCCTATGCAATTATATGAATATTCATTTTACAGTGAAAGCTTACTTTGTAAGTAGGAAAATTACAGTAACATGCTGTGCAAAGGTACTGAATAGTAGAAAAATAATTCTACTTAGTAGTTTTTAGGAAAACCACTGTGAATGCCAATCCTGTCATCCACAACCAGATCCCTATACTTCAAAGAAAACACAAAACTATATTAACTGAAATACAAATTAATGGAAACATTTTGTAATTCATTTTATATAACCTCTGTGATTTGAAGAGAAATATATTATATTTAGAGTCTCATTTATATTCATTTCTTAGATTCCAAGCTCAGTCTTGAATAGTATTGCCCAAAGGCTCCTAACTATAAAATTGCAGAAAGATGCCCAGAACCATTCTGAATTTGACCTACAATGAAGGAAAAATAAATAAAGTAGTTATCTACTGGGCTAGTGACAGAAAACCTAGATATTATGTTAATATAAAATTTTCAAGATAATTAGCAAAAGAGATCGCAGAATTCAAATTCATATTTAACATTATTTATTGTTAAACTGAATTGCTGCCCTTAAATATATTGGAGATACTTATTTCTAAAATAATTGAGTAATGTATGACATACATGTTTTCTATTTTAGCAGATACTCAGATGGAGCAGTGGAAAATCATTGCTTATTGCCTAAAATCATTAAAAATCCTGGAATAAACCCATCAAAATATCTGAAAAGAACTGTAAAAAAATTTTTTTAACTTATTTTCAAATAACAACAATACTTTCTTAAAATAATTTCTTACTTAAGACATGAGATGTGAGAAATCAATCACTTTATAAGCTGGTCAGTGGAGTTTATGCCAGTGTCAGAGAATGAAACTTGTACCCAGGAGGCCCCCACAGATCATCTAAAATAAAGATGCTTCTTAATTAACAAGTAGGTTCCTGTATTAATAATTGCTTTTCTCACTTAGCAAATCACTAACAGTTTTCATACTAAAAGTCAACCCCAAAAGCAGTCTGCTTAATTAGCCTTTAACCTGGTTCCCATATGAACCACATATTATGGATTGAATTATATTCCCCCTCCCCCATTCTTATGTTGAAGTCCTAACCTCCAGTACCTCAGAATGTGATCCTTTTGGGAGACAAGATTTTTACAGAGATAATCAAGTTAAAATGAGGTCTTTAGGGTGGGCATCAATCTAATATAGCCAGCGTTCTTATTTAAAAAAAACGAAATTTGGACACAGAGACAAACATAGAAGGATAACGCCATGCGTGCATGAAGACAGTCAACTATCTACAAGTCAAGGCCTGGAATAGATCCTTCTCTCACAGCCTTCAGAACGAACTAACCCTATGAATGCCTTGATTTCAGTGATAATTTCCTTTACAAAAAGATCACTGTGATCATGCTCATTTTTCTTAATCCTAAAAAATGTTTTGGTTAAAGTTGGGACGTTCAAAATGTGTGGGCTCAAACTTTGTGTGTAAATTTACATCATAACCGTTATATAAATATTAATTTGTCTTTAATTATTTAGGAAAAATATAAATATCACATATTTTGAAATTATTTAACAATGAAATGCCACTACATTTTCAGAATTTAGTTTTACTTAAACTTAATTTTTTAAAATGGAAAACTGGGTAAAGTGAATGATATTCTCTCAATATTGAGAAAAAATAGATGGAAAATTTATTTATAATCTTTCATTGCAGGTCTTGTTCTTTATTAATTTATTAATTTCTTCAACTATCTATTTATTTACCTGAGCTTTGAAATAATAGTATTTTATATCATGCAGATCATTTTGACTTTTTTTATTTCAAAATATTAAGGGGATACAAATGTTTTTGGTTATATTGATCACTTTTTAATGCTTGAGTCACGGTTATAGGTGTGTCCATCACCCTAATGGTTTTCATTGTACCAATTAGGGAAGTTTTGCCCCTCCCCCTCTCCTTCCTCCCTGCTTGATTTCCACTGAGTTTTACTTCCTTCTGTGCACTTGTGTCCTCATTGGTTAGTTCGAATTTAATAATGAGTACATGTGGTGTTTGTTTTTCAAATGTTGAGATACTTCACTTAGGATAATGGTCTCTAGTTCCATCCAAATTGCTGCAAAAGGCATTAATTCATCCTTTTTATGGCTGAGTAGTACTCCATGGTGTGTGTGTATGTGTGTGTGTGTGTGTGTGTATCACATTTTATTTATCCACTCATGAATTGATGGGCACTTGGGTTGATTCCACAACTTTGCAATTGTGAATTGCACTGCAATAAGCATTCAAGTGCAGGTGTCTTTTTGATAGAAAGACCTCTTTTCCTTTGGGTAAATACCCAGTAGTGGGATTACTGGATTGGTCTACTTTTAATTCTTTGCGGAATCTCCCATACTGTTTTCCATAGCTAGCTCCCTTGTTCAATGTTATGGGTAAAATGTGTTATACTGAATTGTGTGTAAATATGAATGTATAAATATTCATAGAATAAGGGAGGGTTTTGATATAAAAATTGAAAATAAAAATCTTGAGCCCTGTTGGAAATTACCTGGAACTATTCACAAATTATCTGCTATATCTTTCTTAAAGACTTACATTATATGATAAAACATAATTAGGGGTGAAAAAAGTGAAATTGGAATCTTCTTATCTTCAACATGAAGCTGGCTTATATAATATTTGAGAGATGTTTTTTGAATATTTCAATAATCAAAAATCTATTTGTCAAAGTGAATATTTGGGGAATAATATTAAATACATCTGACTATACCAGAATAAATGCACCTCTGACACAGAGGGGAATGGAGGTGAGTGGAGAGAACTGAGGAGGGTGTCCATTCTCTGGAAATTATCTTAGCTATTGACTAAGACCTACTTTAGGGTATTATTAAGACATAGAAAAAGTACATCTCCAGAGTTTAACACTTCATAATTGTTGAGAATAATTAATAAAACTCTACCAGATTTTTAAAAAATAAGCCTGTTATAAAAATATATATCCTGGGTAGCAGCCTAAATTTAGGGGGTTCAGGAAGATCAGAAAGAAAAAAGGTTAGATTTCCTTGTTCTAGCAGTACTTATTCCACAGAATTCTCTGGACCTGTGTGAGGTATTATTTATTTCTGATTCCATAGTCATTGAACTCATTCTCTCAACAGAGATTTACTGAACATCTACCATGTGTATGCTGGTTGCTGAGCATATAGTAATTGTCAACACCAACATCATTTCTGTCTTCATTACAAATACTCATACGAACACATAATTGGGAACTATTAATATAAGAGAAAGGCTATAAAATGTGTGGGGGCAGGCGGGGGTATGAAGCCCTTCCTGAGGAAATGAGACTTGAAGGAGGAGTAGTAATTAAACACATAAAGAGATAGGGACCTGCATGGACAAATGACTTGGGAAGTTCAGTGTTTTTTCCCCCAAATCTTCAAGATCATCAGAATGCTGGAGCACAGAACGTTGTGTAAGGCAGCTTACAGAATGATTTCCGTATTTTGACTTTTATCCTGAAATATGGTCTACAAATAGGCAGCCTCCTGCCTGTAAAGACTGGCAGACAAGTTTTTTTGCTTGTGCACTTTAGCCAGAACGCTTTGTTTATAAAATCTGGATGCATTTAGACTAGGCATACACTTTCGGATTTCTTACAAGCCACCTCTCTCTACTGTCCTCACATGTACCTCCTGTCTGATGCGAAGCAACGGACTTTGCAATCTTCTCCCGGGGACTATAAGATTATGTACATAAAATTGCATCAAAGAGAAACAGGAGAGCGGAAGAAACTGGTGGTATCACCAGCCTGGCGCGAACTGCGCAGGCGCAGTCGGTGTTGGGGAGCGCGGAGGAAGGAGCGGGCCGCCGCACAAGGGGTGGGGCGTCGCGCTGCTGCCACTCACTGCGCATGACCGGCGCGCGTTACCAAGGCGGCTGGGAAAGGCATCACCCGGAAGGCGAGCTCCGCTGAGCTGTGGGTACTGAGAGCCATCCTCGGTGGGCTCAGCCCTTACTGGTTCCTGAGCCAGTATCGACCAGGGCCAAGCAGATGAAGAGCCGAGTTTGATACAATGTGGTGGCGAAGTCGAGGGATGCAAAAGAAGAGCAAGAATTGGCCTAAATGGATAAAAGTGCGGTGGCAGACCTTTCTGATGAAACAGAAACTTTCAGTTCCTTTACTGATGAGGTACAGAGTTCTGGTTCATTTAGCTCTTCCGGAGGACAGCAGTCCTGGTCCCTTGCCTCTGGGAGCAAACCGGTGAGTGAAGAGCAGACTACAATCTTGGAGCAAGGCGACAAACAATCTGAGCTTTCAGACCTCAAAAATTATGAAAAGAAATTGAGTATTAAGTGGATCAACTACCTCAAGGGCAAAGAAACTAACTCTGGACGGTACCAACCAGATGCTAGACTTCAAACAGAAACTACTCAGATACCCGATGAAGAATTGAATGCCCTGCAGTCTTTCTGCACCGTTAAGATAAAACTGATCCATCATAGAGTGGGCTCTAAAAAGAAGAGCAGCAGACATAAAAAGCTACAACTTAGATTGGATGGAGAGGCTTCAGAGAGAGATGCCTTAAACTGTACTGTCCCTGATGAACTTTTGAACAGAATCTATTTTAAAAACATGCGGACAGTACCAAAACAGGTGACAGCATCTAAGCAACACATTTCTTCTCAGTGTCCTGATTGTAACAGGAAAAGAGCAGAGTTGGCCCAATCTGCCTTCTTGAAACAAAAGAAGACATTACTGGAGTCACTTCTACTCCAAGAAAAAATAGATGAACATCTTTACACCAAAGACTTTCTCACTCGTGTTGGAGAAGCACATCAAGACCTTCCCAGGCTTTCAGATGACCCCAGAATAATTTGGAAAAGACTGAAGGAGAAAAGTCATATCAGATACTCTGGTTTTGAAAGGTCAGATACAGAGCAGAAGATTTAGCAAGATGGAAATAGTTCTTGTGGTTCACCTTTTTTTTTTTTTATCACTTCTCAAGCCACTTACTCTAATCAAACAGGTGGCACTTATCAAAGATATTATAATATGTAATGTGGATATATGTGTATTTGAGTAATCACTGTAATTTCTACAGGAACTTGGGAAACAAATTTAAGACTTTACTATGCTTCCTCCACAGATTTGAGGACTGAGAACTTTCTGTCCAATACATTTTTCTGATTATAGAAGGCAATGTTGTAGTTGGAATAGTTAAAAAGCTTTTACAACAATGCAGGAGAGATATGTTGTAGCTTGGACTAGGGTGTTGACAGTACAGAGAGAAAGAAGTACAGAGATGTAAGAGAAAGTAATAACTGACTGTCTTTGGTTATGAAATGGTTATGGGGAATTAATAAAGAGTAAATGTTAAAAATGTTACTAAGAATGATTTGTGTGCCTGGATGAATGATATTTAATTTCATTAAGATAGGAACCCCACAAGAGGGCTGTGTTTCATGGGAGTGATCAAGAGTGTAATTATCTGTGCATAGTTAGTTTGAGGTGCATTTGGGACATCTGTGTTGAGAGTTCATTGATTACTTGTGCTTGTATTTCAGAGGAAGGGTCTACCCTAGAGGTCTGAAATAAAAGAGGGGCTGTATGAGGGGAAAACCATTGGCATATAGTTGTAAATTGAAGCCATAAATGTGATGAACTTTTCTGAGAGAGACTAGAGTGAGAAGAGAAGCAGAGCTAGTTAACTGACAAATGCCAGTTAATGGCTGGATAGAGGAGAGTAAACCCGCATAAGAGGTTGAGAAAAATTATCAGAGGGATAAAGGAAACCAGGCATGTATAATATGATAGAGGCCAAGAAATAAGCCTATTTCAAGAAGGACGGTTGACTAAACATGCAGTGCAAGAGAGTGATCATATAAAGATGATTTAGTCATGTGTTGGGCACTGTTGAATTTAGTGACAACCATTTTTCACTTAGAGAAATTGGGTTAACAAAGTAGATTGAGGAATAAATTTAAGATAAGGGAGTAAAGAATATGGATATAGACTTCTGCTTAAAAAGTTTAGCTGTTGGAAAGAGAGGTGGAGCTGGAAGTAGCTGTTGAATTGAGGGAAGAATGTTTGAACAAATTACCTAAGAAACCATTTTGAACATGAAGATTCCATGAAACTTCTGTTGTTCATCCTAATTTCCATTCTGAGGAAATAGTATGATTCCCTGAGGAATACCATGGTATTCTGAAAACATTTATGGGGAAAAAATCTTAGTTGTTATTCTGATAAATCATTTGCTGTTTATTTTCTCTATAAAAATATAAACTGTAGAATTAGTGATGTAACCTGTAGGTCATTTTTCTACATTTATAGCACCTAAAATATTTCAGTGAAAAAGAAATTTGTTTGCAAAAATCAACACAAAAGAATTTTTGCATTATATTCCAATATTACTCATTGAGTTAAGGCCTTAATTTATATATAAAGATACTCTTAGCCGGGCGCGGTGGCTCACGCCTGTAATCGTAGCACTCTGGGAGGCTGAGGCGGGTGGATTGCTCAAGGTCAGGAGTTCGAAAGCAGCCTGAGCAAGAGCGAGACCCCATCTCTACTATAAATAGAAAGAAATTAATTGGCCAACTAATATATATATAAAATTAGCCGGGCATGGTGGCGCATGCCTGTAGTCCCAGCTACTCGGGAGGCTGAGGCAGCAGGATTGCTTGAGCCCAGGAGTTTGAGGTTGCTGTGAGCTAGGCTGACGCCATGGCACTCACTCTAGCCTGGGCAACAAGCGAGACTCTGTCTCAAAAAAAAAAAAAAAAGATACTCTTTTTTCCTATAAAGTTTAGCATATTTCTTCTAAGTTATTCCTAATGGAAAATATTCATTACTTTTCATAATAACTTTGTATTTGAACTCCACATTATGTCATACTTTATCTTTGACATCTCAATATACTCATATTTTACATAATCAAAATTCTAAATAGTTTTCCATTTAGAACTCTCCCATTAAAGGTCATGCTCCACCCTTTTAGTCAACTAAGCTATAAATCTGAGTCATCTTTTGTTCCTCCTCTTTTTAAACTCAAACCCAAACTAACTGTTTTTCAGCAAGACCTTTAGATTTCTCCTTTTCAGTATCTTTTGACTATGACTCACTTTAATCTCATTACCACTCCCCTCATTATCTCTGCCCTCCTACTCCTACTTTCTCTCCTCTTCAATCCATTGTTCATACAGTTGTCAGAATTATATTTCTAACACACAAATCTGTTCAAGTAATTCAGTTGATTTAAAACAAACCAAACCAAACCACTCTAAATGGTTTATCTCTGCAGTAGAAATAGCTAAAATTAATTAATGCCACATAGAGGTTCTTTAATGTCTGGCCCAAATTTGCCTTTCTAATTCCTCTCTTATTCTTCCCCCTCTATGTTCAGGCCTCGCTACAGGACTGGCAAGTCCCTGAGCTCTCTTGTCCTTTATGCCACTCTGGTTTACATGTCCACATTGGTTTGGCTCAGATTCTCTTAACTGCCCTTTTCAGCCAGTATACTCCTTCTCTTCTTCCTAATCCTTTAGTTCTCAATTTTTAAAATCTAAATAGATAATATATTTTGATGATTTAAAAATCTAAAGAAAATTAAAAGATTTAGTTTGCAAAATCTCCCACCCTGTTGCCATCTAACCTTATTCTACACTGGCCTGCCAGAGTTATGTCTTTACATGATGAATTGTGGAGCAATCAGGTATCTTGGGATGAGAGCAAGAGGTAGAGGGAACTCAAGGAATTGAGGAGTGAACATTTACCCACAGGACAAAAATATTTCTGTACTTTAACCAGTGCAACTTTCTTAGTGTGTAGGGGCTGAATATTCATGTTATCTATAAATAACCACTTGTGTTATTTTCTTATCTATTCTTCCAGTGCTTCTTCATGCAAATACGAACACCCAAGATAGTTTACTGTGTACTCTCTTCTTCATCTTGCTTCCCCCCCCCATTTTATTTTTGTTTTTCTTGTGGTAAAATATATATGATGCAGATTTGCCATTTTAACCATTGTTAATAGTACCATTCACTGGCATTATATTCACAAGATTGTGCAACCATCACCATTATTTCCAGAATTTTTCCCCACCTCAAAAAGAAATTCTTCATCCATTGAGCAGTAGTAAATCCTCATTCTTCCCTGCCCCTAATTTCTGATAACCTCTAATGTATTTTCTGTTTCTATAAATTTGCCTATTTTAGATATTTCATATGAGAAAAATCATATGGTCTTTGTCCTTTTGTGTCTGGCTTAGTTTCAAGATTCATCCAAGTTGTAGCATGTATCATCAAGACCTCACTCATTTTTATAGCTGGATAATATTCTATTGTTTGTATATATTTCATGTATGTTTGTCTACTGATGGACATTTGATGTTGTTTCTGCTTTTTTTCTATTGTGAATAATGTTGCTGTGAACATTGGCATGCAGGTATCCATTTGAGCACCTGTTGGGTCTGTACCTGGAAGTAGAATTGTTGGATCACATGGTAATTCTACGTTTAACTTTTTGAGGAATTACCAAATTGTTCCATAGCAGTTACAGCATTTTACATTCCCACCAGTAATGTACAAGGGTTCTGATTTCTTCATATCCTTACCAACACTTGAAAAAAATTATAACCAACTAGTAGGCGTGGCGTGCTATCTCATACTTTCTTTTCTACATCAATTGAGATCATCTTGTAGTTTGGTGTGTGCTTTAACCCAACATATAAAACCCCACCTTCTCTACACACTCATCTTATAACCCTTAAGCACTGACTAATCAGAAAGGCTGTAGGCTGTATGCTCCATGACATTAATATAAGTTCATATTCTAAAAATCATATCTTAATTAATATGCCTTTCTCTCTTATTGTGAGCAACTCAATGGTGAAGACTGTCTTACATTATATCCATAGTGTTTAGTACAATGCCACACACATGATGGTGCTCAACAAAAATTTCATAGATTAAAAAAATAAATGCTTCCAAACAATGGAATTCAATATGTCTTAGCCACCAAAAGAAGAAAATAATCTGCAAGCATACTGTTATCTGTCAGTGTTCTTCATTTGTATAGCTGATTTTTGTAAGTTTTCTTTCTTTATCTCTCCATGGGTTGGATTACTGTTTAGCACATTCTTTTCCTCACTGGAAAATTAACATAAAGCTTTTGGATAAGACATCTTTCCAGGAAATATGCAGCTAATTAATACATTATTCATTTTTAAGAACTAATATAAAAGATATTTCTATGCAACCCACATGTTCAAATAGAAAAGGTTAGAGACGGCCGGGCTCGGTGGCTCACGCCTGTAATCGAAGCGGGCGGATTGCTTGAGGTCAGGAGTTCCAAACCAGCCTGAACAAGAGCGAGACCCCTTCTCTACTAGAAATAGAAAGAAATTAATTGGCCAACTAATATATATATATATATATATATAAAATTAGCCGGGCATGGTGGCGTATGCCTGTAGTCCCAGCTACTTGGGAGGCTGAGGCAGGAGGATCGCTTGAGCCCAGGAGTTTGAGGTTGCTGTGAGCTAGGCTGACGCCATGGCACTCACTTTAGCCTGGGCAACAAAGCGAGACTCTGTCTCAAAGAAAAAAAAAAAAAAAAAAGGTTAGAGATAACGGATGACTTTCTGTAATTTTGAAAAGGGGTAAAAATCCTTGATGCTCAGACTTGAAAATACTGGGTTTTTTTTTTTTTTGCCCCTGAGTACATTCAAAGTAATAAGTATGGTTTCTCTAAACTCTTGACAGCTTCACCCAAGAGATTCCAGTAGAGCTGAAATGGAAAGTCCATCAGATCAGGTGCTAAGAAACCACATATTTGCCCAATTGTTGCCATAGCACTAAAAATGTATCTGGCAAATTTATACAGAGTTATGCAAATAATATATACATAATTTATATAACTGTAATGTGCAAATTATATAAATATGTGTGTATTTATTAATAAATAATACATAAAATTCTGCACCTTAAAACAAATCTTTATGTTGAATAAATATTATAGTAATGAAACCCTTGAAACAGTGGTAAGTGATATGCCAGATTGAGAGAGAAAAGTAAGCTCAGTTCTGAACATCTGAGTCATTCAAATTCCAATCTCAGAACTGTTTAGGAATGTTTGGGACACCCAGCCCAGAATACCTCCAATTTTAAACATGTTAGTTTATTTCATGATGAAGCCTAATATAGTCACTTAGCTCTTTCTGCAGCAGCATAGCTCAACAGGTTGCAAAGAAGTAGGGATTGTGATTGTTAGTGGATGTGGGCTCTCCTTCAATTTTGTCTAGAATTGGCAGATGAAAAATACATACACAAATAGTTAATTTGAGAGACAGAAAAAGAAAACATAGTTGAACTTCTATTCTC